GTAGTATTCTTGGCTGGCCTGGACTATAATTATGTGGAAATTTACGCGTTTTCTGTTCAGCGGTTGTTTTATTCAGTATAGTTATTCAAAATGGCGGCTAAAGGCGATGCGCAACGAGAAGAAACAAAGCATCCTCCGTGCAGTATAAGTATATAATCGCAGCTTCTTAACATACCACTCATCTGAAATAGTATTTTTTAGGGGTAGTCCATTTTAGGGTAGTCCATTTGGGTAGTCCATTAGGGTAGTCCATGGACTAGGGGTCAGTGTTTTGTCCATCACCCTTAATTCCCGAGACAAAACATTTCCCACCCCATTATGCCCATTGTAGGGAAATAGAAACTGGTGTGTTTTCCATCATGATCATGGTATGAAAACCATTTACCATTATCGGTATTTAAGCTTACTTGAGACTTCATGCACCAGACAACTTTAACTATTTTTTAGCGACTCGTTCTGTGATCGACCGACTGAAAAAGAAAACATGGCGGTGTGCAGAATTCACTCATCAGAGAGTCTACCCGCAACCGAACTCGATTTTAATGTAACTATCTACTTCTACTCATTTTCACGAACTCCTGGCCTGGTAGAGAGTAGCGAAGTATATTAATATTTACCTTTTTCCGGTGTAAACTTTGGTAGTACGGCCTCGGACACGGCCTCGAAGTACAAATTTCGCGCTCTTTCATGAGCAATACCTGTCTTTCTCAGGCCTTCTCTGCTTGACACTGCCGATCGAGAAAACTGGACACAAGTACAAGTTCAAAATGGCGGATGGCGGGCTTACTTCTCACGCGCTTCAAAGATTTTCCGAACTAGAGGAACTCGCACAAGAAATAATGGAAGACAAGCACCAGGTGAAAACTAAGTTCGTATCGTCAACAATTTAATACTGTTGATATAGGCGGAGAATTTTCTGTTCCCTCTGATAAAGGCCTTGCCTGCTCAGTGTTGCAGGATAACTGGATGCCTGGACCAGGCATGCAAAGGTCGAAGGAGTCAAATTACTTGACACAGGGAACGTTGTTTAGCTGTCCCTTTCCACAAGAATTTGAATAATTATTGATTTAATTGTTTCAACAGTTCATTAAGTGTCGATGATAGCAAAAGTTTAAACAGATTTGGGGATTAGAAAGGATTTAATCATTGTCACCTTACCATAGATGGACAGACCTCTTAAGATCCAAATACTGATATATTTTTTAATGTTATCCAGTTTTTCAATAAATTTCTTTTCTGTAAGAAATGAAATTAGGTAACTGTGAAGAACAGCTCCTCCGCAAAAAACATTTCAGCTGTCTGTCGGTGGACTGTTGTCCAACAGACAACAGACTTTTTGCTAACAGGTTTTTGCCAAAACACAGACCAATGGTTGGCCAACAGAGNGGACTGTTGTCCAACAGACAACAGACTTTTTGCTCACAGGTTTTTGCCAAAACACAGACCAATGGTTGGCCAACAGAGGGCTGACTGTCAGCCGACAATCGGTGCTCTGTCAGTCAGAAGTCAGTAACGTGTTGGTAAGATGTCGGTAATCTTAACACTTAGTTTGATGTTGTTTCTCCTTTCTGAGCCTGAGATATACATTAAATTGAATAGAAAGGTATGTCCTTCTGAGTTTTGGTAGTTATCAAGATTCTTTTTCAGATAGACAAGTCCTCGTGACAACATGAAAGTGGTAGTCACCATGTTACTGCGCCTTTCAATAACATGCGGACTCTAAAATTCAAAGCTCAACCGACAAATGCATTTTTCACTACCGTCAATCAAATGTTCAGCAGCTCCTCCCAGCTTCTGCCTACTGCCGAGTGCGCGGTAATCAAATCAAATTGTTGAGCACAGTTCAGACAACATATTCGGAAGCTGGCAGGAGCCACCAAACATTTGATTGATGGTAACGAAAAACGCATTTTGTCAGTTGAGCTTTGAGTTTCAGAGTCCGCATGTTATTGAAAGACGCAGTAATCAAATTGTTCCTGTGCATAACGTGTTGCATTGTGTTCCACACATGAATTTAAATTAAAATGCTCCCTCTCCCCTCTTATTAACCTGCACTGTCTCTCATTGTCGCTTCATGCTAGCACCCTGGGCAAAATTCACGAGTTTGCTCAACTGCAATGTCCAAGCCTTCTAATTAGCCTGGATCTCTGTTTCTCTCTTGTTAGTATTTTGATAACATCAGATTTGCAAGCTATCCTCACATTTAAATTCCACTTTACTGTTTGGTAAGATTGTAGAACTTGATAAGAAGAGAAATACCAACAGGGAGGCTCTGCGGGCTCTGAAGAAAGAAGATTCAAGTGGATTAAAAAGTAAGCAGTGTATGTTTAGTCAGTCAATAAAATTTCTTCTTGCTCGCACTGAGAGTCCACTATGTAGCACAGCTATTTCTCTGAATTAAGCCACTGCCCTTATCCCAGCATGATTAAGGGATGAAATCAACAATCGATAACAATCCATGGCAGTTGATTCATATCGGAAATTAATGACCCACCGATGGCACAAAAATTTGTGTTTTATACTAAATTGGTATCAACTGTCATCGATTGTCATTGATTTACAAATTTATTGGAAGGTCAAAAAGGAATGCTTTTACAGAAGAAATATGGTGAAATGTTATTACATGAGCATTTTTAAAATTGCAGGGTACATGTCTAGACCAAAGCTACCAGATGGCCAAAGAATTTAGATTGCAAGATTAGTACAGAGTTAATGCTATTCTGAGCCTGCATGCTGGACATTCAGTTTAACGCTTAAGCCTCCAGGAGGGGAGGAAGGGAAATCCCTTGGGAAAAGGATACAACTTACACCAATTGAAAGTTTCTGTGTTTAATGGGTAGAGCATTGCTACTAAATCCTTCTGGAGGAGACCGAGTCAACATTGATCATGTATGTTATAGATCACTTTTCAGTGCATTTCCACTATCTCAATTTCTTCTTCTGGGCAACAGATTGCTCCACAGCTTCAACAGCAGCTCAGTAGACTTTTTTTTTTTCAGTTGACCTGTTACGTTAGAACGCATTAACGACCACTTTCATTGTATATTATTACGGGGCATAGTCTAAAGAGATCAAAAAGAGAGAAAACAACCCTGTAAGTCATTAGAGATAGCTATAACAAGAGCAGTAGCCCTGAGAGGAAGGCTATTACGTTATTACAGGTAATAAGAGCAAAAGAGAAAAAACAATCCTATAACCTGCAGCATATGTGTGTTTGAATCCCACCTTTTGGGATTATTAACAAGTTTCTGTTCCAATTGACATACAGTATTTGTTTGATCATTCATTGTCACCAGTGAGCACAGCAGTGCTAAATATTTCCATTCGACACTTACTAGTCACTTTGTTTGTTTTTTTTCCACTATTTTGTTTTTCTATTTGTGATTTTACTTTTTTCATCCTCTTTCAGCTTCCAAGTCTTGGGTGTGTTTTGGAAGTATGTTTCTAAAGCTTCCAAGCTCTAATATACAATCAATGCTACAACAAGGTAGGAGCAAATTAAAAGAATTATTAAGGAAATTATCTACCACACAGAATTATTTTCAAACTTTTACTGCAGTTCAATAATGAATTACTTGTGTCAGAAATGCAAAACAGTGGGAGTCACCAACTTTGTTTCAGAGATAAAGCATGTAAAAAATACCCTGCTCAGGGCTGTCATAAGTTTTTAGTCACCTTTAGCTTTATTCACCACACCTGTAGCAAATTTGTTACTTTATGGGTGAATTCTATCAACAACAGGCAATTTCACCTGTAGCATCAAGGGAAAATCAAGCATACTCAGCCGTAACAGGTGCAAGGGGTTAGGGCCATAATGACAGCCCTGCTGATTTTGAAAAACTGGTGTAGGTTACTCAGTATTATTATCAGGGGTTTTGGTTAAAAACATTGATATGTCAACAGCTACAAACTAGACTACGAGTAGTCCCTCTTTCGCTAAGTCCATCATGCTGATGCTCGCTCCTCGCCCCCAGGATTTCACACAGCCATTTTTTTCTCACAGTTTTCTTTCACGTCACGCACAATGGACTAAACGAAAGAGGGACTACTCGTGGTCTAGGTGCAAACCATCTCTGTAATATTTTGTGTAAGTGGGTCTGTAAAATTAGTGATGCCAGATTGTATCATCCTTTCTATATAACTCTACCCTAAGAGATATTTGAAACCATCATACAGCGAGGCAAATAGCTCAAAAGTGCAGAATTCTATGACCCATGGGAGTAAAATTTCAGCCTTTGAAAATGCATACTGTTGATTTTTTACTTTTTTCACAAAACATACAAAAACAGTAATCAGTGTAATTACTCAGTGATCTATCAACAGCAATATGGGGGTCACTGAAAGTTCAAGGTTGTTAAATCCATGGAAAGTCATAGCAGTATTAATAGTAACCATCATCACTTTCCTTTGTCTATTTAATTTAGCGTACAGTGTACATGCACTCATTATGACATGGCACTTGAATTGCATGTATTGTAAGGATACGTACAAACTTGCCATGAACATCCTTAAGATAACAGATTTTGGCCAAAAATTAATTCAGATGCTGGCCAAATTATTCTCTCAGAACCATGCAACCTTTCATTCATTGATATCAATATCAATTTGTGTAGTATCTATTTTACCAAATATTTATTTTATTAACTGTGAAATTTTCCTTCTACTAAGATCAAAAAAACTTAGATGAGGAAATAGGCAGACTGAGGAAAGACCTGAAACCAAAAGTATCAAAACTTCATGAGCTTGAAGGTTAGTTTACTATCAACAACTTAGCCTGCAAACAAGCTCCCTTACTCAAGCAAGCTCGCTTCAGGCAATCAAAATATAGAACTTTGCATTTGCACCAATTCCTTTTAGTCCCGCGATGGAGAATAGGGCATGTTTGCTGCTATAGTTATTCTTCCATCAAATACAAGCAACCCCAGTTACACGTACATGAGGTAGATTAAACCTGGTGAAAGTTTTCATGTTGTGGAACCAGAACTACATGTACAATCGTGGACAAAGGTCCTTGTAATGCAGTGCATTATCTGTGTTTTACAACTGAAGTTCGAAAAAAAAAAAAAAAAAACAGTGCTATCCTCTTAAAAATGCGTTGCTGTTCCCCCTCCCCACCCAATACAATGACTTTTTGAAACTCAGGAGAAATTGTAGTTACTAGTTTTCAACATAGTATGTCAGGTGGGGGGAGAGAGACACTAGGTAGGTGAAACTGCTGTATTTTCATCAGGTGTATGTACAAAAGTGCTAAAAGTGCAAATCTGTCCCAAGACTTTTGCCCATGATTGTAGTTCATCTTGCTTTAAAACAGATTTTAGAAAAAAAACACCCTCCCTAGCTCGGTCATTCGCCAAAATAATGATTGTGTTTGTACTTCTAAGAATATTCTAAGAAGATTATTTCAATATTTTACTGACGTTCTGCCATATACATGTTTCCTTTCAAGGATTACCTGAAGTGAAAGGATTTGACCTTACTGCATTGACACAAGATGATTTACAGAATCTAAAGCCTTAATAAGCATTGAATGACCAACTCTTGGATTCTGAAGTATTCATGCATGATCAAGCTATGATCAAAAACGAATAAACAGCGCAGAGGTTTTAAGAACTTTTCTCATAATCTGTGAGGGGTAACAAGGCTTCTATGCTGAGTAAAACACAAGACAGTTTTCTTCCTGTGAAGACGATATGAAGACTGCAGCATGACACGTGACGCCTGTAGAAATCAAGTGCAAGGATCCTGGCTCGTGCAGAGAGAATCTTCCATCTCTCGTAAAAAGCCGGTAGCAGAGAATAGACCAACGAAAGGCTATGCTTATTTGGTATTTCAAAATTTGGCTCGTGAGTCTGCAAGGTTGCCACAGGTCAGGAAATGGTCAGGGAAAAAACTTCTTCAAAGTCAGGGAAAAGTCGTGGAATTTCATTTTGAGTTACGGAAAATTGATATTTTGAAGAAAAATCAGGGAACACTGAAGTAATTAACATGACTGATTTTATACCATTGAAGGCTGGAAGAAACATTTGGGGTCACTGTGATCTCAAGGTTATTTTTCCTCAGTGAAGAAGGAAAATTTGTTGAAAACTTATCCGTCTTAATGAACGAATGGAATGGACGGCTGTAATTTCACGTTAGAAGCCGCTACTAGATCTGACATTTAGTATTTATTTGTTCAGGAAAATGCTATTTTTATCAGGGAAAAGTCGGGGAATTTTGAAAAGTGATGTCTGTGGCTACCATGGTTTGCATGGTTGCGTTATAACCTTTTTTACTTCTGATTAAAGAAGATATAGAAAAACAGTTTAAAAGAAAAATACACGCTATAACATGTCGTTTGGGAATCATCTTGTCGTCATTAACAAGATGATGCCAAAACGTCATGTTATAGCATGTATTCTTCTTTCGAAACTTCAGTAATATTGAAACACATCACAAACACCAATTAATTCAAAATCACTATGATAACAAAATATTTTATTTTTGCATTTGTTGGCCAGAGAAAGCATGGTGTTGCACATTTTCGAAACCTCCGCTTCCGACTAAAAAACTAATCATTATTTAACAAATAAANACTAGGGGTCAGTGTTTTGTCCATCACCCATTGTGTTGTGTTATTGGCAAGACACTTAAAGAACTCTCACATTGCCTCTCCCCACCCCCGTCAGAGGGCAGGGGTATAAATGGGTGCCGGCAAACCCAGCGATGGACTAGGACGACTAGCATCCCATCCAGGGGGGAGTAGAAATACTCCTAATCAATGCATGCCACTGAAACCGGAGATAAGTGCCGGCCTGCTGGGCCACTTGGCTTGTATGCAGACTTTTCCGTCCACCATTTGCCATGTTCGAAACAACAAGGAGTTGGGACATAGTTATACTGTTGCTGGGCTCAACTTTGGCTCATAAAATGGGTTTTGCCATCTATACTATCAGTAAGTGTCCTCTCAGGTTAATAATTACTGTTCCAAATACATGTAAAAAGGCAGCAGTCCGACCACTAAAAAATTGTGTGCATTCAAATTGTGTGTGCAAATATCACCAATAGCTTTCTTTGTTATTAAGATCATCATCTAATTTCTCCTATTAATAAAATATTGATTCACAATCTGCAAGTCTTGAGAACTAAAGTATTGATCACCAACTGCAGTTTGTTTCTGTAAACTGCAACACAGAATAATACAAAATGAGAAATATTCAGAAAAACAGCTGAAACATTTCACATGAAATATGGCTAGGCAGTTTTAGCAGTTATCAATTCTAAGAAGGTCGCAAAACAAATGGCACTTGACAAAAAACGCATTTAACAAAATTCTTAAAAAAGAAATGGGTCTATCTTAAGAACTCCCTGCAAGATATCAACTAAGTAATACTATAATCAGTTTCGTGTAAAAGACACATAGAAATCCCTCCTAGAAAATGTAAGCTGTAAACGTTGTAACATCTTGAGTAATTTTTTTTTTGCAAATTTATATGCAGTGTAATAAAATTACATCTTTAAACATCTATTTAAAATTCCATAATTTAACCTTAACAATAACTTATTACTGGAAACTATTTCTTTTTTAAATTATATCAAGCTCAGCACCCACCAGGGCGTACTTCTTTCCACCAGTTATAAGGGTACAAGTGCTTCAAAATCTCATTACCTCCTTTAGGGATGGAGATATTGAAGAATCCAAATTTCACTTGAGGTAGTTCTGGTTCCACCAGCCACGCAGGAAATGAGTGATATGTCCTGTAATTGAGAGCAAAAAACCATGCCTCAAGCCCTCTCCTCCTCATAGTGCCTCCATGATTGTAGAATGCGAACAGATCCACAGACAACCACAAATCCTCTTTGTGAATTACTATGGTTCCACTCTGCATCCACTTGTTGTTTACTTTAAGACCTGCTGCCGTAAAAGGAGCGAGAAATTCACTCAAGGTCATATCTGCAAATCTTCCTTCACCATCAAATCCAATGTCGACATCATTGTCCCATGGTAGCGGTTTGCCGATACGACGTGCTCCCCAAATGGAACCATACATCAACCAATGCCGAATTTTCATGTCGTCTAATATTTTGTGAACTTTGTATGTAATTTCCAGCAGCTGATCCATTTCTAGTTTGCTGTTCTGACAAGAAACTACTGGAGCCCACATCCTGTTTGTATAGTAGGCAAAGCTCTGTAAATTAATGTACACATACATTCCTACAAGGCTCAAGCCTATTACAAGGCGGATAAGCAGTCTCCACTTCCTCAGCCTCATCAGTTTCCCTTGTCTGTTTTGGTCGTTACCCTTGTCTGTAGTTGGTGTTGGACAGGAACATACTGGTACCTGGAAATTGGATGAAACTGTTTCAAAATTTTATAACAATACCTTAATAAATGCTCTTTTGAATGAAATGATCATCGCAATAAATTATTGCACCTGAACCTTTAAAAATGATGCAACAATTTTGTATGGGATTTCTCATTTAAGAACATAAATTAGAGAACTTCCAGCTGCCCTCCACACCAGGACAAGGACAAGGTCAGAAATGTATCATGGGGAAATATTACATTTTTTTTTAAGCAAACTCCCATGGTGTTCAGATCTCTGAACGGACAACCAAAGGTATTTAAGTAGCTAAATCAACAAACACATCATTCATGCTGAGAAAACACACATAGAAAACCTCTTCTTCCCTCGAGTGGCGATTTCTTCCAAAGCGACTTGTGAGAAAATACATGCTCCTGATTAGTTAATTACCGCTACCATAATGCAATTCAGTGCATGTCCAACCTCCTCTACCTCCAAACAATAATGTCACAAATCTGTCTCATGCAGAGTCTGTACCCACATTTTCTTTCCAAAGAACCATGAGAACTGGATCATGTGTACTAAGGGCATCCGCAGACGAGTGTCAATCAATACTCTTGATTGATACCCTCGATCGACATTTTGATCAACATCCTGATCGATACTCAGTCAACATCTGTTGACACTTGATCAACAGTCAGTCAATAGTCGCCTGAGTGTCGACTGACTCATATGAATCAATCAAAAATTAGTCAACTCTCAACGGATTGTGGACTGAGATGTCAATGGAGTGTCAATCAAGTGTCAACCATAGCATCGATGGAGTATGGATCAAGGGTATCAATCCACACTCCATCGTGGATCCCTTTAGTACACATGATCCAGAACCACTACTGACTGTAAATTAAATAGAGATCAGAATCTCTGATAAATGATGCAAGCAAGTAGCTCTAACCACAGAACTTTTTAAAGGTTGTTCAATTCCATTGAACAACTTAGGTCCAGCTTTTATGAGTTGATGAGTTCAAAGATTTTCATCCACAATGTCTGTCCACCACAAGGCTATCTCGAACAGTAGTGGTTTCCCTTGAGCACACTGTGGGAAATGTTTACCCTGTTATCTTGAACTGTGATGACTAATGAACAAATTAATAAGATCTTGTCATTGAATTTACTGTTTCAGATCCCAGTGATCTCAAGCAATTGTTTAGTTCCCTTGGGAGTTCAAGATAGCAGTGAACTCATATGGGCTATTAGATTTGATGATTTAGTAATAAAAAGTAGCGACCAAGAACCTTCCCTTGATATAATTTGGTTCTCATCAGTATTATCAACAGTCAGAAGTGTTATTGGGTTGCCAAATTTATTTTTCAGTGAGACAGACATCATTCAATGGATTTAGGGATGCAATTTCTCTTCCCTGCAAAAAAGAGAATTCTGTCCTCAGAGAATTTACCTTGGATACCAAAGCACACTTTGTATTTAATTCTTTGGTAAACCATCCTCCCTACTGAGTTGATTTGTTAGTCTAGAAGGTTTTCAAGGCCATTTCAAGTTCTTGTAAAGTCATTTCAGTTTCCAGAGGAGTGTGTTTCAAAAATTAGCCATGCAGCTTTCAAGCTGTTGACAAAGCCACTGAATCAGAGCTAAAATTTTTTTCGAGTTGACAACTTAGAATTAAGAGTTATTAGGGACACTGATGCAATGATTTTTTGTTATTAAAAACATATCAACAGTAGCTTCTAAGCTACCATTTGCAATGTATGTTTAAGGTCTAGATAAATATTTTAGCTTTGGTGCATGTAAAGGGAAATTCTGAGGAACTCTTGGGAAGAAATTTGTTTATTTGTATGCCTGTTTTCCAACAATGCTAACAACGGCAATTTTGGTTAAGACATTGAGGCTAATTATCTCTGAAAATAACGTTGCTGCCACTGCTTTTATTTGATTTCCAATAGTCCTTGAGGAGATCTTTTTCCACAAAGTCCAGATTCGGGCAAAAGATTTTTGTATTTACAGGTATTTCGAAGGCACCTTCCTTAATTATTTATTTATATGTATTTTTAAGGTCACCAAACGAAATTCTGTGCAAATACTCGGGAAATACTGTACTGAAAAGATTTCTGGTTAACTGTTCGCTAGTTCCAGGGTGTTTCTGTATTAACCACATTTTATTTTCTTCGGTTTCAATCTTAGCATATCTCGAGCCATAACCTCCGGCACAATCATGTACATGAAGTACAGGCTGTGCACTTTGAGAAAAGTGAGCTGCTGATGAAAACAAGACCGAAAGATGAAAAAAATTTAAGAAATTTATCTGCGTATATCCGCGCAACTACACACTGCCTGGCCACATCGAAGGAGTGTGTAAGTTTATAAGTATTTTGTTCGGTTTGCTCTGCATGTGAAGAACGTGGGTATATTTTGTAGCAAGTAAATATTATATGACTTCAACCTGTAGTTTAGCCTCGCGATTCATCCGAAATAAGCTTATTTACTTACCATTTCCTGTAAATGATATGACGGACGAATATCACTTCACGTCGAAAGAAAAATCCAAACTTATTGCTTCGATAATTATACATCCCAAGCCTCACATTCATGTAAAAATTCCTTTGTTTGGAAAGATGAACACGAGGCTTTGGCGGTGTATTCAAATGAATATATGAAAGATCATTGAGAAAGATACGAAAACATCGATGATCATCGCAGTTATACACACAACTTAAGCAGCTGTGAAATTAAAGCCTGAAAAAAAAAGTCAAGCTTGAACACGAAATAAGCCCGTTCAAGCCTCAATTTTTTTCAGGCTTTAATTTCACAGCTGAGTTTTAAAGTTGTGTATATAACTGGTTTTAAGTATTGCTGTTCAAGTTTAGGCGCGATTTATGCAAAATGTGTCTACATATGACATAAAAATCTCTAAAGCAGACTTCGCAAACAAAGGAAATGCGAAATTTTGCCTATTTCAAAAATAGCTCAACATCTGTCTTACAGAGTTTTAACATTTTTAACATTTTGGCTCTGAACGCGAAGTACTCTAAAAAATCAACTGTGAAAATTTCATCATAGATTGTACGGTAGGTTTTGGACAGGGCGCAGAAAAATTGCGTTCTGGTTTTGGAAAAATCTTGGAGTAAATAAAGAGAGGTTTTTACAACTTTGCGGGAAAACTGAATTGGGCATGTCCTTTATTTAAGCGCACGCTCATATGACGCCACGTACCGCGTGCGAGAAAGCAAGAGTAAACTCTTGTACCAGTTTGTCTTTCGTTTTTGTCATATTTAATCGGTCACAGGCTTAAATACCTTTTTGAAAGCAGTTTGAAATTATTGCTACTTAAACAAAGTGATTTAACCCGTTTCATGTGCTGAAGTTGTCTTCGTTTCTCCTAGGGTTACTTACGTCATTTTTTGTGCAATTGCAATTATAAATAGTGATGTCCACCAGGCAATGGTAGCGCGCACAACCAAATCATGGAGAAACGGTACGTTCTCACGTGAAAATATTTTCGGATTTCACATTGGCACAAAATCAGCTATGTCAGCAGGCTAACGGTAGCCTTATCAAAAATTTAGTGTATATATAGACGTAATTCCAAAATGGCAGCAGTTTATTATTCTTTTGTTACATGGTAATTAGCCCTCTTTGCCTCGTCAACATGTACAAAATGCAAAAGAATTTTGACGTGAAAATGAGGCAAAGAGGGCTAATAAACATGCAAACAAAAGAATAATAAATTAGCCACCATTTAGGAATAAGATGTATGGTATTTCTTAAATTAAAAAAAGTGAGAAATTGATCATGCGCTAGGCAACCGGAGAAGGACTGGCGTAAATAGTCATTACTGGGGATAGAACTAACTCGAAAATCAAAGTGCTTTATGAATAAACCCTGAATGTTCCTCTGAACAATGATTGACATCTGCTAACCTATGCACAGGCCTTTCCACAAATATCACGAAAAATCGCTTAAATATCTTCCCGGAAATTCTTAAAAATATTTCTAAATATCACAAAAAGGTTTCTAAATATCTCGAAAAATCTCCAAATATTTGCTATTTTGGATTTAAAAATAAACCGATTTTGAATCACTAAGGCCAAAATATTCAAACTTTTCTTGCCGTAGTAGGAGTTCAGGAAGAAGATTCGGGCACTTCGATGTTACTAGCATCTGCAACTTAAGAAAATTTCTGCCTTAGCACAATCTGATTCCCCTTTACAACCTGTAACTTGCTTACGCAATGAGCCTTAATACCGATGTCACGCAATATCAACATTTTTTTGTATTTTTCATATAAACAAAACAAAACACCTCCATATATCAATTTATCATGCCAAATTTGTTTTGGACTCACTCGGTGCGCCGCGTGAGTCCACAACATTTTGACCACTGTGATGACGTGTATCGTTGTCGATAAGAGTACAGACCACGCTAAACCACATTCGATTTGTTAAACAGACCAAGCTAAACCGCATTCGATTTGTTAAATATCGAAATTGGGCTATTCACGCACAGTGTATGAGCGTAAGCAAAATATTGTGCACGGTCATGGACGTTCCGACATAAATCGTGGTGTCTTTTTTCCTCCTTTGATGTTTGCCGAGCTTCATAACCATTCTCCTCTATGCTCCGACTGAGTTAGAAATAAGGTTTCAAAACTCCTTGCCACCCTCAGAGGACTAAACTTAATACTGCCCTAAAGTATTGTGGAAGTATGCTTTGAAATAATTTGGAGTATGTTTGGGAATTTCCGTATTCAAAGTGTTTGGGAATTTTAATATGATTTTTGTGTTATACTGATAAGTACACTCCAAGTTTGCTAAGTAACGATAACCTCTGGTAAAAACTCCTGAAACTAAGCAAAACTATTTATCAGCACCTCGAACCGTATCCCAGTCACTAGAAACCTAATGCATTCCCGAAAGGTGTTTTCAGCTCTGTGAGCTCAGAGATCGGTGCAAAAGGTAATTTTGTCTAAACGAACGTTTGTCCCGAGGTCAATGAGTCCGCTTACAATAATTGCTAGCTTCACG